TCCTCTGGCCTGAGCTAGTTTTCAGTGTCATTATCACTGGAAAAGGGGAAAGAGGGGCTCTGTGGTTTTGGGATGGGCTGCCATGGCCCCCAGGCCTGTTCTCTGCCCCAAGTCCAGCAGGTGTAATCCAGCCACTTCCATGCCCTTCCTCACCTTCCCAAACACTCTGACCACACCTGACCTGCCCTGGGGATGTGATTCCTGGTGGTGCCAACCTCCAGGATCGTGTGGGTCAGGGGCAGCAGGCCAAGGTCACTGCTGGGTGTTACACCCTGGGCCCAGGAGTGTCCCCTCAGGCCCCAGTGACCAGGCTCCTATTCCTGAGCTGTGCATCCACCTGGGAGCAGAGCCCCAGCTGGGGAAGGATTGGGAATCCCAGTGTCCCACTAGTTCACAGCACTCACCAATGAATCAACTCCCAGGAACCACAGGGGGAGGGTTATTACCTCCAGCACCTATAAAAGGAGACACTGAAGTGACAGGTAACTTCCCTTCCCACCTTTTGTGGGGATAACACAAACCAGCAGAGCACAAAGACATCCAAAACACCGTTTATCAAAGCAGCCACAGAGTTCTCTGTCAAAGGAGAGGTTTCACAAGGATGTTTCTGGCATGGGCAGATTCCTGGTGAAACAACGAGGGGATGCAAACGACACAGGGCCTTTTCTCCTCACAGGAGAGTCAAAAAGCTTTCAGAGGCTTCATAAAACCAGAGCTGCTCACGTGGAACAGCTCAGATGGGAAGGGGGGCAGAGGAAGGGCCTCCCCCTTGCAGCTCTCCAGTAGCAGCTCAGGATTGCACTGGGTGGGGAACACTCTCGGCTCCAGGCACGGGGGGAGCTCAGCAGTTCACAGGATGGGGCCTGTGCTTTTGTTCCTCTCCCTCCCCACACCCTTCTCCACCCTCCCTTTGACAGCCCCAGGAGGAAGGGCTGATGACAACCCAGCACTTCAGTCACTCAGTGCAGGCACAGGGAGCAGCAGGACCCTGCTGGTGACATTTGGGCCATGAGTGAAGTCCCCCAGAGTAATAAACAATCAGGTGAAGAAATCTGGGAAGAAATTACCCAGCACACCTCATCTCAGCCCCCAGGAGATCCATATGAGATGTGTTAATGCATCTGATTATGATCTAAATTATGTACAGAGGCTCCTGCCAAGCACTCAGTGAAGTTTCTTTATTGTTAAGTTGGAAGCTGCTTAAGAACGGTCCAGTCATCACGTTTCAAATTACATTTGGGAAAAAAAAAACAACACATTTTCCTATTTCATTGCTGGCTCAGAAGACAAGGTGGGTGTGGGAGTAGCAGGGGAGGTGGGGACAGAAGAGGAGTCAAACTATTCCCTGTCCTTTATTGTCACCTGAGCTGAGGGGGTTCACTGTACAGACACACCAGAGAATTCCTGCATGGCTTTCCAGATGTGGTTTTTTTCCCAGAAGGGGAGTATAAACACCAAGGTTTATGGGAACAAGGGCCCTACAACTTGGAAAGAAAGGGTTTCTAGAAGAATTCTGATGAGAAAGGCTGGGTAAAAAACATGACCTGAGACTTTCAGCACACCTGTGAGGGCCACCTGAGCTGTCACCAGATCACTGGGCTGCTTGGAGGTAGGAGAAAAAGCTGATTTTCTCCCCAGAATGTCACACCAACAGTGGAGCTTTTTAGAAAAATACAGATAAACAACTCCCAGGTTTATATTCAATCCAAGCAAGTCTGGGAGAGCACATATAAATATGCCAGACTGCCACTGCACCTCTTATTGAATCACAGAATGGTTTGGGAGGGAAGGGACCTCAAAGCACACCCAGTTCCACCCCCTCTATCTATTCCACCTCCCACTATCCCAGGTTGCTCCAAGCCCCATCCAACCTGTCCTTGGACACTTCCATGGACTGGGAGCCCACAACCTCTCTGGGCAACCCGTGCCAGGGCCTCACCACTCTTACAGTAAAGAATCTCTTCCCAATATCTAATTTAAAGCAGCAGATCTGGAGGAGATTAGGGACCAGAGCTACCATTTCTAGCCACCACGGTGATGTAGTGGTTTAAACACCAAAAAAACCCATGCTTCAATGTAGGATCACAGGCTGGATCCCAGCCAGGCAACAGCCCTGCTTTAAAAGGAAGTATTTATCTCCATGGAACACTTCACTGAACAACACGCTTGGTCCTTGAAAATAAAGCCTTGCTAAACAACTGGATTTTAACCTGGAATTCTGCATTGTTGGCATCCTCTGCTGCTGCAGGTAAATCTGATTCCCTCACCCAGCAGGCTGATTTTCTCTCTAAGAAAAAAAAAAAAAAAAAAAGGAATTTTCTCTTTCAGTTTAACTTTGAGGCAAAGATGGAAGAGCACAGCCTGGCCTCAAAGCCGAGAGATCTTTTGAACTCCAAGTAAGCAGGATCTCACAGGAGCTGAGCTCGAGGGCTGCTCTGGAATAAATCAAAAACGATTTACTCTTTCCCTTGAACAAGGCAGGAAAAAAAAAAAAACTCCTCAGATGCACAGATATGAGGCTGAGGGTGAGGAGGCAGCAAAAAAAAATAATAAAAAAGGCAAATTAAGAGGGCCTTGATGGCTTGTTACGGTCCCACACAAGCTGAACACTGTCCTGCATGGCTGCATTTCCTGGAGGAAATCAGCAGCACAGTTGCTAAACCTGCTGGAAGAGGTTCAGCCCAGGAACAGATGGAGCAGATGCTCCAAACACAGCACACAAGGACATGGAGCTCCTGGAGAAACCTTCTGACAGCAAGTCAAAGCAGGGGCTTGACCTGGTGCTGTGGCACTGGAGATGCAGCTGGCATTTCTTCACAGATTAGCAGAGTCCAGGGCCAGAAGGGACCTGGAGAGCACCTGCTCTGCTTGTGCTGTATCACAGCCCATTCCATCTCATCTGAGTTTTCCTAGGAGCAGGAGTCTGACCTGGCAGCCAAATCCCAACTTGAATTAACTATGGTGGCTCCCAGTAAGAATCCACTGTGGAAGCTACTTCCACCCCAAAATTTGGGCTGGCAGAGAGGCTTTGTGTAGGATGTCACACCTCCCCTGGGTGTCCTGGTGTCCCTCTGCCAGGAAACACCGTTCCCTGGAAGAGGCACAAGTGGCTCCGAGCTCCAGCCACTTCCCTTTGCTCTTGACACCTTTGCCCAAGCCCAAACCCATCAGCAGTTCTGACAACACTCCAGAGCCTGAGTTTGCCTGAAGGAGCTCAGCACAGGGCACAAAATCCCATCCTCTGGCTTCCTTACTGGAGTGAGAGGAAAACTGGAGAGGGAGAAATGCTGCTGGCAGCAATTCCAGCCTCTGCTGCAAGCTTGGCTCCCAATCAGCCACACACCCCCTCAAGAGCTGTGTGTGAGCACCCTGGACTAATCCTCACAGGGTGAAACAACCTCCATTCCAAAGAGCTTTGGGACATGAGTCTGCCCAAGGAATGATGCTAAAGAAGAAAATATTCGGAGCTCAACTTCCCCCCGAGCCACGAGGGGGGATTTGGATCCCAAGACACTGAGCTGGAGAGCTCAGACCATCAGTGACATTCCACACTGCCCTGAAAATCAGAATTTAAAACTGCTGAAACCAGATCCTTGGGAAATGTCACTTCTTCCCCTGAAGTTCTGCCAAATGAATTTGGCTAAAACTTTCAACAAATAATAGATGATTAAACAGAAGAGCTGATGGCCAAAAAAATATGTAAGGGGCTTGATTAATGCTCTGGGGGTGACGCTGCAGTGGTCCTGCCCTATTTTTACAAGTTTTCCTCATCTCACCATTACTTTATAACTGGACTATGGGAGGAGGAGAGTGTTGCCAGAAGGGTGATGAGATATTTTGGTAAAACATGTTCAAATACAGCAAAGGAAGAGGCAACCAAACACCAGGCACGGGACAGAGTGACACTGCAGGGCTCCTTTGTGCCTTACCTGTCCCTCAGCTCCTCAGCTCAGACCTGTTCCATGTCACACATTGACTCCTCCACCACTTGTCTTCTTTCTCCCAGCTTTGATCTCGAGGGTTTTTCTCCTGTTTAATATAAAAACACAGACAAAACCACATGTACTTAAGAAACATTTCATGCATGGCCTCGAGGCATCGTGCAGGAGAGGCTGTGGAACAGCACATGGATAGAAACACTCCTTCCAGACTTCTCCAAACAGCTGAGGGATTGAGCAACCTGGGCTAGTGAAAGGTGTCCCTGCACATGGCAGGGGGTGGAATGGGATGAGCTTTAAGGTCCCTTCCCTCCCAAACCATTCTGGGATTCAATGATTAATGGCACAGTCGGCCTGTGAAGCTCCCAGAGGTTTGACAGTCTGAGTGTGAGAGGCTGGAGGACATTAGTGAGGACACAGGCCCAGATGGGACAACCTGGAGAAGGGATGTTTCAGATCTCAAAGGGATGAGATGTGGGTCCCCAGTTCCCTGCTCCATCAGCTCCAAGCCAGCTTGAAGGTGTTCTCAGCTCAAAGGTGTTCTCAGCTCCCTTCACAGAAAACCCCTCCTCTACAACACCTGGCAATTAATTGACAGCTCTCAGGTTGGATCCCTGGGATCATTTCCCACAAAAGATTAAATAATATTATTAACTCCACTGTCTGTAAGTGCCAAGGTCAGAGAGGACCCACTGAAAGCCACCCAGTCTGACCTGTTACATGACACACCACCAGCTCCACCCGCCAGGTCCAGCCTCAAGCCCAGTAACTCAGAGGGAGTTTTTCATCCAGCTTTTTCCCTGGCTCAAATCCTCTCTCTGCTGCAAACAACTGCCTGATCTCAGAAGCCAAACAGATAAAAAAATTAAAAGAAAATAAGATGCCTTTTGCTAAGAGAAGCCCAAGGCTCCGGGATCATCCTTCAGCGCTGCTGAAGGTGGGATTTCCTTTTGCTCCAGAACAAAAAGGACCATCCCCACCCTGCCTCCATCCTCCTCCACAGCCTCTTGGACAGCCCCAGTGTTGGCAGGCGGCACAAGTGGAGCATCCCAAGCTCCCTGTTCCCACCCCACTCTCACTAATGTGTTCCATATCCAGCCTCTCCCACAACCCCGGCTCTGCCGTCGCTCCCGGCACGGAGTCGGGGCTTGATCCTTAGGGCTGGGGCTGGTTATAAAGTGTTGCTCCCAACCCTCTCACTCAAGCTGGCAAAACATTTCCCAAGTGCCCACATCCCTAGGACAGCAACAGGGAAGCACATGGTGATGGTGGCTCTGCTTTCCTGGCTGCCGGACGTGATCTCCACCCACACTCGGCTACGGGATGTTTGTAGGAACAACAGCCACGACCCTTCTATCCCGGACTGCAAAGCTTTTCCCAGAGTTCTCCAGAAACCAGGAGTAAAGATGTTACTCAAGAGCCCCTGAGTATTTCATTCCAGCTGAGGATTTCACTTCAACACGACCTGCAAAAACACACCCTTCAAAACTCTCGCACGCCACGCAGACCCGGCATCTGCTCCCGCCCCTCGAGGTCTGGAAAGGTTTCATTGCAAGTTCTGAATGCTTACAGTTTATAAAATAAATATTTATAGTAATTAATTTTTTTTCAAAGCCACCAGTTATTCTGAGTCCCTGAAACTTCAGCCACTCCAGGCAAAGGACCCAAGGAATCGGAGCATCTGGAAATGGGGTGCCCAAATTTGCACCAGCCAAAGGAACCACTCTCCTGAGAACCACAGGATGGTTTGGGATGGAAGAGACCTCAAAGATCATCCAGTTCCAACCCCCTGCCATGGGCAGGGACACCTTCCACTAGAAGGCATGGAGAAGATTTCCCAGGGAATCCAGGTTGGTTTTTTTTTAAAAGCCTAATTCTAATGTAAGCTCTGGAAACCCCTCAGGCTGCTCATGGGATAAATGCCACCTTATGATAAAAGCAAAGCCTCTTCTCTAATAAACACCATATAACTTATATGATGTCAAAAATTCCAGCACATTTTATTTAATATTTATTTTATTTACTAATATTGTATTTCATATTTCATTCTGACCACTGTCACTGACAGCAGTGACAGCAACCCAGCACAGGCTCACCCCAAAAAAAAAAGGTGCCTTCTCCCTGCTCCCCATCAGAGAAGCAGTGGCAAGCAGCTGTTACAACTTCATTTCATATTTTATTAGTTTTTACAAGCCAGCCATGCTAAAAGGTTGCACCAGTAATTTAAACTGCACTTGTCAGCAGAAGTGAAGGACATTGTGGGATACATTGGATTCCAGCTCTTTTATTGCTTGGCTCCTCGGAGTGATTCGAGCAGCTTAAGGATTTCAGAGGCACTGTCACAACAGGATCTGGGCCATCACAAGCTGCCATTTAAACACAAAAAAAAAACCAAAACCAAACCCCCAATTTCCAAAGAGCTGGCTGGACCAGCAGAAGCTGTTGAAGACTCAGCACCTCCTGGCTGCCACCAAATCGTTCCCTCGCGGGGACACTTTAAATGTGATTCCCACCTGGCAGAGTGGCTCTGTAAAATGGGGGAAATGCTGATTTTTGCAGCTCTGCCAAACCACAGGAACACACACACAGAGCACTGGGAGCCAGCAGGGCTCTGTCCCACGTCTGCAGGTGACAAGCAGAGGAGCAGAGCACGGCGTGGCTGGAGCTGAGCCAAGCCAGGAAAGCCCCGAACAGTGCTGGCCAGAGGAGGAATGTTTAAAGATTCCCATCTGCTTTCCATCCCAGCAGCATCCCAGGGTTCTGCTGGACTCCTCCACAGATCAAAAAGCCCTTTAATTCACATCAGCCCTTCTCCTCACCACACCAAGCTGGGAAGAGGTGCTGGTCTCCATCCTCATCCAGCTGCCCTGGACGTGTTGGGGCTGGAGAGGGGAGAACATCCCACTGCTGAGGTGCCTGCCAGGAAAGGACTCAATTCCAGATCCCACTGGGAAAACTGACCCAGAAAAACAGAGGGGGATGTTACTTTGTGGGAGGGTGGAACAAAAGGGGCCATTCTTGGTCAAACAGCACGACCCCAAACCCAGCTCAGGTGACAGAACCACTGAGGGGTTTGGGTCGGAAGGGACCTTAAAGATCATCCAGTCCAAGCCCTGTCATGGGCAGGGACACCTTCTACTACCCCAGGTTGCTCCAACCTCGCCTTGGACACTTCCAGGGATTCAGGGGCAGCCACAGCTTCTCTGGGAATTCCAGCCCAGCCCCTCACCAGCCTCACAGTCAAAAATTCCTTCTCCATCTCACATCTGTCCCTGCAGGGACACCTTCCACTATCCCAGGTTGCTCCAAGCCCCATCCAGCCTGGCCTTGGACACTTCCAGGGATCCAGGGTCAGCCACAGCTGCTCTGGGCAACCTGTGCCAGGGCCTCACCAGCCTCCCAGCCAGGAATTCCTTCCCAATCTCCCCATCTCCCTGCCCTCTGCCAGTGGGAAGCCATTCCCTGTGTCCTGTCCCTCCAGCCCTTGTCCCAAGTCCCTCTCCAGCTCTCCTGGAGCCCCTTTAGGCTCTAGAAGGGGCTCCAAGGTCTCCCTGGATCCTTCTCTTCTCCAGGAGAACCCCCCCAGCTCTCCCAGCCTGGCTCCAGAGCAGAGGGGTTCCAGCCCTTGGAGCAGCTCCGTGGCCTCCTCTGGACTCGCTGGGATTTTCAGGTTTGGGAGCTTTCCCTTTGAATGCATTAACAGAAGTTTTCCAGGTCACCTTTGCTGCAGAGTCGTCTGAAAGGGGGAGGTGTCAGATGGTGCCTCAGCAAGGGAGTGTCTGTTCCCTGGGAACGGGCTCCGAGCCCTGTGAGCTCCCTGTGCCATCTGCACATCCCATGTTTGGACTCCAAGCCCCATGGACACTCCTTTGATGTGGTGAGCTGGACTCCCAAAGGTCCCTGGAGATCACAGGGATCACATGTTTGGAGCATAAGGACCCCTCCACCCCCTGAAACAGAAGTTTGCTGTTGCTACATTTTTTTAAAGAACATTTTAATTGCTTTTTTTTTTTCATGTCTGATGCAGAGAGCAGCCATGGAGAGATGCCCAGGAAGGCTCCTCTGCTCCCTGGGGAATCCAGCCCTGCTCTCAAACACTTGGTCTCCTCTTGGCCCCCCCAGCTCTCTGCTCCAACACAAACAGGTAAGACCCACATCCTCCTGGAAATTAAACCTGGCACCTCAGCCACTGACACAGATCCCCTCCTGCCCTGCAGGAAACAGGGATGGGGGATTTGCAGCCCCAGGTGTCCTGGAGCAATCCATGTTCTTGGGGGCTGGGGAAGGCCAAGGGTGGAACAGGCAGAACTGAAGGGCATCTTGGGATATTTAACCATCTCACTTTTCTTTTCTGGCCTCACCTCTTCACCAGCCACAGAAATTTGTCCATTTTCTCCTGCTCTCCTCACAGTGTCCACCAAAAAGCTTTTTCCTTTACTCCCTGGTCACAAAAACATCCCAATCTGCTTCCATCTCACCCTTTCCTGACAATTATCTCCACTTGCTTCCCTATTTTCTCTTTTTTTCAAGGCTCTTATCCAGGCTGGTTTTTCTTCCCCTCCCCTGCCTGCCCCATCATTATTTTTCCCACTGTGCTACTCCATATCTAAAATTTGTTTTCAGTGGGTTATTTAAGCTCATTGTCCTGCACTAAGGCAGACAAATATTGCAGCCTAACACAGGAATATGCCCGTGGAAATCATTCCTGGGATGCAACACTCTCACCCAACCCAAGCAAGACATGGGAATAACACAGACTCAGATCCAGAGCTCCCAAAAGAATTCCTGGCACCCCTTCCAGCAGAAGTTTGGACAACACAAAACATTAAATAAATAAAACATCAATATGAAGAGCAGAAAGTTTCCCAGGCTAATACAGGCAACATATCCCATAAAACTGGGAATAAACCCACCTGGGCCCATTAACTGCACTTGCTCTGTAGGATTGTTTCTGCAGAGGTTACCCAGCACACCAATACTCTGGAAAAGAACGTGGAAAAGAGCTGGAAATGAAGGAGTGTTTGGGGATCCCGTTGTTATGCCAGAGTGGGATAAGGCAGGAGGGGCCTATAAGGGGAGAAAACCCCAGAA